AGCCTGAAAACAGGGGCGGATTTATTGATATTATTAATAAGTATTTCGTGCGCACGTTAAACTTATTGCGTGGCCGCGAAATGCTACTTCGTGCGCACGAAATACTACTTCGTGGCCACAATTAAACATTTTTTTTGACCATGTCATAAGAATGTTAATATGTTAATTTATATCTATATTGCGCACGAAATACTACTTCGTGGCCACAATTAAACATTTTTTTTGACCATGTCATAAGAATGTTAATATGTTAATTTATATCTATATCCACTTTTTATATGTGGAAATTTACATTTAGTCTGAGCACAATATCCTTGTAAATGAAAACTACTACAACAAATCTGGGTTTTCCTTCAAAACCCATGTAACTTCTGTGGTCTTTGGTCCTTTTGCTTCATAAGACCGGACATGCTGCTGTGCTAAAAAGGCTGTTCAGAAGGAACTGCACACAGAGAGGCTGAAACACAAGTTAATAAACTTGATTCAAAACACCAGTTTTGATTCAACCAATTCAAAACTGCTGTTCTGTCCAACTCTTTTATTGATTTGGTTTATGGTTCACTGGTAGAACACAAAGTCATGCTAATAGGAAAAGTTGCAGGCCCACTGGATCTTAAACTAGAGCAGAATGTAAAGGTGGGTAATCCAATATCAAGTTGGTTCAGATTCTAAAATGAGCACAACAAACTGAAAGTACTACCTTTGCCATGTTTCCTATTTAGAAACAGACTTGAGGATTGTGCTTTTATTTTGGAATCCTTATATTCAATGTTGTATATTTTCATACTTCATTGACCAGAATGCTATGAAAATGCTTAAGATTTACATGAAAAGCTTTACATTTTGAAGTACATGAACCCAGAACTCTCCTGAAAGTACTTTTAAAGTGAAGGATGATCAGAGGCTGCTTTCAGGAAAGCAAACAGTGCCAATAGCAAACAGTGATGTCGATAACCTGCTCCTTGAATTAAAGGAAAAGTTGGCTCTTTCATAAAAGTCAGATCAGGCGTCTTTGTTTTCTGTTCAAAGTCAAAGCCTTGTAGTTTCTGCAAAGTCTCCTGAAAAGTCATGTTTGCATTTCATGAATGTGTACGAACAATTTTGCTCTTTAAAGTTAACAAACACTCTCTCTTTCAATTCTGGTTAAAGTCGATACATGCAGTCATTACTTGCTGCTCAGCACTTTTTTACTTGATTGAATCTAGTTTTTGGAACCTTTCCTCCTACATCTGGTTTTCATTATAAAGACATTAAGCTTAAGACCGGGAGAAGTGGTGTGAAAGTCAAAATTGAACAGCTTACACATTGGCTGTTGGTTCAATGGGGCTTCCAGGTTTTTATTTAATCTGTTTCACACAATGAGCAAACAATACAGGTTGGAATATTAAAACAAATCACCATCTTACAAGAAACTCCCTGACTCAGTTTCTGTTGGACTTGTTGACTTAAGGCTCAGCTTGGAGTTTCCTCTCTGATTTTTGATTTGCTGCTTAAGGTTCTGAATAGCGGTGGCAAGTTCAGTCTTTGGTGCAACGGAAATATTATTGCAACAAAAGTTGACTGTTGAACACTGACAGATAAATGTGTATCACACATTCATGCTGGAGTTAGAGTAAGCTCCGTTGAACGGTGACCCAAACTTTCCTAACCATTTTCCCCTTGCACCATTATCTTGTCAAATTGACAAATACCTGCTAGCAAATTTCACCTATTAACTCAAACAATGCCTTTTCCAGTCCTCCACCCTAATTACTCAACACACGTGGACTGGGCTGACAGCACAGCTCTGCTGCCACAGTGTTTTTTAAAATGGGTTTGGTACAGTACAGAAAGGAGGATTTACAGAGGCTGAAAGCAATACCAAAAACAACAACGAAAAAAAAACAGCAACCAGTGTTTTGACCACCGTCCCTTACAGATGAGCTTCCTTGCTTTGTACTGGAAGGCATTTTAATGCCATATCTCCAGTTATGTAATAAACTGCAAACAAGCTACCCAGGAAAGGCCACAGCAGAACCCTGATCCTATTGATGATTTCACAGAGGGCTGCTTTGGGTGCTCATACTGTAGCTCGGTGTCTGCATGTGCAGAGGTTCTGATTTCATGCTGTTAAGGAGAGAAATATAAGTCCATGTGAGTCCCTCTCTCTGCTATGAATATGTCATCGGCACCTGTGTGAAGAGAAGCTGCATATGATGCAGAACAAGAAGAAGAAGCACCATGTAGAGATGCAGCCCACATCCACCATCTTTTTTAGGCTATATAAGATACATTTTAGAAAACTATTACAATTTTGTTGTTGCTTTTTTCATAAACCAACATTAAATAAATGTGAAGCAAGAATTTATCCATGTTTTTGATTTTTGATTTTTTTTTTTGTGCTACAAATCTCAAAAAGTCAGGAGCAGCACGTCCTGTTTACCTTTTCTTTATAAATTTCATTGAATGTCAGAGTGAGGTTTTCATCCTGGCACTCTCCACAAGCAGCCCTTAGCCCCTGAAGGAAGAGTTATTTCCTCTGGCCCGGTGCTGAGATGGCACTGGTTGTGCCAAAGTCATTACTAGAAACTGGTGTTAAGTGGAGAACTACCAATGGGAGCAATTTGCAGTAAAAATCCCCCAAACCCAAAAGATTTAAAACAGTAGGAACCACTGTCAGTATCCTTTAGCGTGACGTTTGTTTAAACCTTCTCAGTTTTGCTAGTGTTTCTGTTGCCATTTTCCTCAAAGGCAATCAGAGAGTATTATTGGACATCATGTTGGTTGGGATGTGTTTGAGCAATGGTTTGGTTGAAATTACACGCCTTAATCATCCTGCAAACCTTCACTTGGAATCCTGTCAACAACTGAGTAAATTAAGTAAGTTGTCTGTTTTTCTTTTTCCGCCCTGCAACCATAAAAAATTGTGGAAACACCAACAGATGCTTAAAGATCAGAGAGGCATTCTTATGCCGTGGGGGCCTAGAGGTTTTAGCTCGATGACATGAGGCTAAACAAACAGACCTGCATTAGTTCTCCACATGTTCCCTGCCCAACCCCTATAAGTTTGGCACGTACAAACAGCAAGTACTGCTTCCCCTTCCCCATATAGTGTTCCTACAGCACACACACAGCATATTCTCACGTCTGTGGTAATACCTATCTTAAGCTTTATTTTTAGACAGCTCTTTGATATATCAGTGAGATAGCGGCAGTACATGATGGGTATCTCCTTCCACGTGGTTTTTCTCTCAGCCCGCACCTTTATTGCCACACTGTTTACTCTTTCTCAGTTTGGAAACCTCAGATTCCTCCCAGATGGAGTGGATTGATAGTACTGTAAATACCACCTGGTACTGTCACTTCTTTTGCATTTC